TCCTTCACGTCCACAGCAGTGGTATCTTCATCAGGTCCTGCACTGGCAGTCTCCTCTGACCCATCAGCTGCTTCTTGTGTTTCTTTTCCCTCCTTTGAACTCTTGTCCTTCTTTTTCTTCTTCTTGGAGGTCTTGCTCTCCGAAGGGGCAGGAGCATCTTCCTTTTTCTCTGCATCACCAGTTTGGTTGGCACCTTTCTTCTCGGCTGCAAGAAAATATAGCATGAGAAAACTGAGTCCATACAAACAACAAAACCACACAAGAGAGCTATTGAGATCAGGCAGTTTTAATGGCAGCATGTATGATTCTTACTATCCTGTGCAGCGCTGCTCGAATTCTCAGAAAGTCCCAGCTCAGCCAATACAGCATCAAGTTCTGCTAATTCTTTCTTTTTCAACTCCTTTTTAGACAGCTGCCTTTCTGTATCTTTGGGTGGCGCAGCCGGGGCTGCAGCTGTCTTGATAGCAGGCTCGGCTTGGGCATGTTCCCCTTCATGCTCAGGTTCATCCTCAGCTCCATCATCAACCTCATCATCAATGTCCTCATCATCACTCTCAATGTCCTGCAGCATATACAGAAGCAAATACATATAAGAATACTATCAGAGGCTAACTATAAGGACAATCAGCCAAACATGTTCCATCTCCCTCAACATGAGTAAATTATACTTCCACTTAACAAAGTTCAATTTCAAAGCAAAAATTCTGACAGAAAACAACTAGAACAATAACCAGAGTTTGCTATGACAGACAAGCAGCACCTGTCATGTATAACCATCTCCAAATCACTTGCTTAGCCAAGATATAGAAAAAATTGGAACAAGTCCCTATCCAAGGTGCTTCTTTTTTTTTTCTTTAGCAGGTGGTTTATCTCCAACGGTGTTAGTACAAACACATCTTGTAAAGAGCATCACTGTAGCTCTCAATTGCATTATGCTCCTTTAGACAACAGCTAATTAGAACTGAAATCCTCAAGGTAGTGAAGAAAACGTCCATACACACGACAAGCCTCTTTAATTCCTTACTGTCAATATGCGATATTATACAGTTACCCAGTATTCTCGCACCCGTTGCTGAATCCCTTAATTGCCAAAAAGGATAGCATGGGCTATATATACCGATATGGGCATTAATGCACCAATTTGCCAATTCTGCTTATGCAACGTAACTACGCCGTGTCAGTTTGTCAGCTAAGCAGATGTTGTACAACAAGACAATCCTTCTATCACCAAATCAAAGGACAAAGCTATTCACGTGGTACGCCTACAGCACTTTGCAGCTGAAATTTAGCATTTCAATACCTACACCAACAATTGATTGCCATATTGCGCACACGACACACGGCCAAGGGAAATAATTGCATCCGTTACCAACACCAATAAAACGGCACAATGCACACGTAAACCTAGAAAATTTTGCATGCCCTTACTCCAAAGATTCCACGCCAACTGTCAACTAACCAGTACGCATAGATTAAACAGCAACGAACAGTCTGAAGGTATAAGAACATTTCATAGGCGCATTCCACAACCAAATCACAAGGCATATAGAGAAGGTAGGGGAAATAGACCTCCTGAAGGGCGGCGCGCACAGCATCCTCGACGTCCTCCTCCTCCTTGATGGGCTCGTCGGCGGTGCCCCAGACGGGGCGCGGCGGCGCGGTGGTGGCGAAGTAGTCGTCGTCGTCGTCGTCCTCGACGTCCGCCCAGGACTTGGTGGTGAGCGGCGCGGGCGCCCAGAAGAGCTCCTTCTGCGGCGGCTCCTGCTGCTGCGCGGCCCCCTCGCCGTGCTTCTTCCTGGAGGACGACCCGGCCGCCTTGCCCTTGTCGCCCTTCTTCTTCTTCTTGAGGGACTCGAGCGCCGCGAACACGTTGCCGGTATTGAGCTTCACCTCCTCCGCCGCTCCGCCCCGCCTCCCCCCGCCCACCATGCTCCCCGACCGCCGCGGTGGACCCCGGCGAGGCGACCCGAGCGAACCGCGAACCCGAATCTGAATCTGCCCCGCCTGCCGATCTGCGTGGACGAATCGGCGCTGGGGGGTCCTCGCCGCCGGGAGATCGGACTTGGATTGGGATTCGGGTAGGGACGGAGGCGCGGTTGCTAGGGTTTTGAGATGGGTGGAGGCTCGAGACGGAGGGGGACGCGTGCCGCAGCCTTCTCCTGGCGTTTGTTTAAGCAGCGGCGCAACGCAAAGACGACAGAGAGGCACGGTGGTTTGCTTTGCTGCCGTTCTTTGCTACCTATCGCTAGCTACAATTCTATCCACCCACACCAGCATCACGCATTGCCAGACGCACACGCCACGCGCTGTGGTGCGGGTGCCGTGCCACGGCTGCCTCGTCCTCCCGTTCATGACGTGGAGTTGTTGTGGACGTCGCTGACCCTGACCCTGAACCTGAACCTGAGCTATACGTTTTTTTTTTTGAACTTGAGCTATACGTTTTTGGTAGAATCGACCCAGAGTTTCCACGACGCATGGACCTTGTAGAAATGTCGCCGAGCAGTGGTATAGTATCGTGGTATCAGGGTCGTGTCATGTGATTTTTTCCCCCTTATATAACAGTGCTAAAAGCGCGAGAAAAGTCATAATAAAAAACAGAAATAAGAATCTAAGCGCAAAGGCTTAGACATGACGACATGAACAGTAATAATGAAAAAAACAAAAACAATCAATCTAAACAGCAAAGGATGCATTCAACTATGTTTTTTTTACAACAAGATTCACCTATGCCAGGATTCAACTATGTTTTTTTTTACAACAAGATTCACCTATGTTTATCGTAGACAGGACAGATATCCTACCTCAAAATTAGTGAAGACAGGACAGATATCCTACCTCAAAATTAGCGAGACAAACAGCAGTACCAGGAACAATGTGTGCCGAAAATAAGGGCACACTCCCGTATCCGTATAGCGATCTGACAATGACGAGCAGCGGCTTTGTATGCTACCAACAACCTATTACTGTTTGGCGAAATGATACATCAAATATAGTGGAGACATTGCCAATCAAGAGTAACGTATCAGTACTGGAACTCCTCCCAATTTACATGACCACAAAAGGGTGAACGATTGCTTATCATCCAGGGTGCAAATTGTGTACACGGTGTAGTATGATATAAGTAAAAATAAAAGAATACTACGCATAGCAGCCAGAGCATCTCAAGCGACGAAGAATATGAAGATCGTGAGGAACACCATCAGCACAAAGAATATCTTCATCAGCAGCCACCTGTTGGATGAAATGCTGTTGAGGTACTTCAGGAGCTGGCCCTGTGCTCCCTCCACGTTAGTCAATGTGTCATCCATGTTCTCGTCAATTCTGCCATGGCAACCCGTCAATTAATACAATATAGCCAATAGGGCACATCAATTCCACACCAATGCAATACAATAGGGGCAGTGAGGACTGATAATACAGGAGATGTTTGGGGATAAGATCCAGGAAGATATATGCTCCTACCAATGCCAAACTTATCATGGATGCCACGAGATTCTAATCAGCCAGGTACAAAAGTTGGTTCGTTTTTCCCCTGATCACAATTTGGCACAGTGTACCATTTAAGGTCCCTTGACCATGCTTGTGCCACAGTGCCGTGGTACTGTTCACGTGCCCAAGGACTGTCTTGACCCTTAACAACAGTCTCCACCTTCCTAATGGACCATACCTTACTTTTTCTAACTAAATAGATAGAAGTCCAAGAATAATAGATAGGATACTAGTTAACCTTATCCTCATAATCTAATTACTTATTAAGAAAAATAGAAATTCCAAACCCTATCTAACCCTAATGCTTCCATTAGGTACTGTTCAAGTGCCAGAGTCAGTGCCTGCTTACAAGCCCAAACAACCAAGCAGCCAGCAAATTCTCAAATTCATTGCAAACATTTCAGACAATGTTCCTCTTTGATGCAGCCATAAGATTCTCTAGGTGAGGTCATGATATATTAACACTATTACACTAATGCTCACCTTGAACATATTAACACTATAAAATTAAGATATGGATTTAAGTTCAAGTGAGTTTTTATTTCATGGACAATAGATGGAATAGAATTTGGATGAGGAAGTTCACCTGATTGCTAGCTCTCCCTGTTGATTAACCATGGTTGCTAACTGTGTAAATATGTTGCTCAGCTCATGGATTGTTGATTCCACATTTTGAAGAGCCTCAGCTCTGCTCTGCATATAACTGTCCTGCTGTACTGCCAATTGCTGCTGCTGTGCAAAAGGCTGAGATGATGATGATGATGCATTGATGCCCCATGGTCTCCATTAGTCTTCTTCCTGGTGAATGGGAGCACAAATTTAAGAACAGAACTCTAAAAGCACACAAACAATGGTTTGCATAGCCAGGCAATAGATGCATTCGGCCAAAAAGTGTTGTTCTAGCCAATTTATATAAAATAACTTCAGGGCGGCCATAGAGAACAAATAAAAAAGATTAGCTTATTACAATATGTACATGTGTGCCAGCATTCATGACCTCAACTAGCAATACAGACAGAAATGTGAACCCAAATGAACCAACCTGTGTCCGCATGGTAAATAAAAAATTTCATGAGTAACCATTGAGTTCAGGTTGTTCCATCAAACTAGTAACCTACAAAATACTCAAATAAGAAGTGCAACAAACAATACATACCCCATTGAATTATTGAAACCATGATTAGTGTGAATGTTGATGTACTTGGTCAGACATGAGGAATTTTATGGAACAGTTTCTCTTTTGTACCACATTACCTACATGATAGCAGACAACTAAGGCGATTTTGAATAGACTAAAGCAAGTGAGACGTTAGCAGTCCAATGCCCAATATACAGCTAACATAGCATGTGAAAGGACAAAGGACAAAACTAAGGTGATTTTGAACGGCCGCTGACAGGTGAAAGTTCAATTTCATCAAGTTTTGTATGTGTAACTGTACCTCTGGAATAATGGGGTAGATGCAGAGTCACTGGCCCATGGTGCTGGGAGCACAGAGGACTCTGATGGATCCCTAGCAACAACGGATGAATGGATTTGATGCGTCCTTTGCAGCTGATGAAGAGAAGGAGAACATTTGCCTTCTATTTTCATGAACCTTCAAATTCTGCACATCAAGGAAAGAAAGGTTTTAAGCAACCATCTGTTCTAAAGACTTTACAAGGGAGGAAAGGAGCACTATAATTGAGGAAAAAAACGATTTTATCTGACCTCTGTTCGCATGGTAAGAACTTCTTTAAATTCTTTCATTGCACTCATCAGACGATTTTTAAGGTTGTCCACAATTGTAGTGGAATGATTTGTTGTGTCCTTGGAGAGACTGCCACTCTCATTTTGTGAATTGCAGATAGCTTGTAGGTCTACAACAGCAGTAATGCAGTATTCAAAGCCGTGATATCCTTCTTGATAACTGCAGTCAACTCTTGAATGTCCACTATGGGGTCATCAAAAACAGATGTTCTCTTTGCCACTGCAAACATTCATTTTATAATATCAGTCCCATAGAATAGCACAATCTTTATAAGTGCATAATATTTGAGTGTTCACGATAAGAGATTCATAGAGTCATGTCATCATATCATTGATGAGGCTTTGTCATAATACATCACAAATGCCACTGGAACTAATGAACAAAATTAGATCTTATGTCAGAATGCCGTAGACTATATGATTAAGGACTTAGTAAAAAGCAAATGCATAATGTCAGGTTCAACTGGCACATCAAGGAACATAAATCCATAAGCAAAAAGTGGCAACAAGCAAATACACATTTTGTCAAGGAAAATTGCAAAGTTGAAGATTTTGCAGCCTACCCTACTTCTTTGCATTACAAGTGGAAGCCAGAATAGCTAAATCATTTAGAATGGACTCCCATTTAGACATTGCCTGGGCAAGTAGGAAGTCCAGCCATGTAAGCTATTGGCAAATCAAGCTAATGCTCATTGATATGATACAGTGCAGATAAATAACATTCATCTTGGGTTTGAATTTGAAAAAAAAAGTGGCCCAAATCTCCATATTTCCTCAAACATGCTCTTCAACACCATTAAGAACAAGGTTTGATACATGAAAGCATTAAAACACAGCCTAATAAAGCGCTAGTAACAAAACAGCATCAAATCAGATCTGACGCTATCAGAACAGCACCAACCATCAAGTAACAAAAAAAGTAATTGAGAAGATATGATGTCAATCCGTGCCTTGCCCAGACTATGGTTCATGTTTGATACACTTACAGCCACATTACAAGCATGCAAAAATCACTGAAGCATCTTAAGTAGCAAGCTGACAGACAGAATAGTTATCTTAGCTCGTTTTGGCCGATTAAGGTGCTAATGAACTGCTAATGGCATCACTGAAACCATCAAAACAGAAGCACATCACACTGTAGTCTCAATCTGAATATAACAGAAAATATCCGGTTAAACATAATGCAAATAGTACGGAACAAGAGTGCCATGATATTCCCAAGTTAACCACAAGCACAAACACCTAGCAATCACTGCCTACAGAGTAAATCTCTAGCCAAGCATCCTATACACGACGCGCGTCCAGAGATCTCGCCGCCAATCCGATGACTAGCAGTTCAGCTAATCTGAAGCAACGCGCAAGAGACGAATCCAGAAGCACGGGAAGGAATGGGACGAAGGCCATACATTTGGCAAGGCGGCTTAGCTTCTGGGAGGTCTGGTGGATCCCGAGCCCGATCTTGGACGCGCGGTTGTTGAACTCCGAGCGAGCCGACGTGGCCGCGATCAACCCATCGAGGGACCCGGTAGAGCTGCTGCTCGCCGCGGCGGGGGCCGACGACTGGCGGCGCGTGCTCTCGACGGCGGCGCCGAACTCGTAGGTGCGGTCGCGGAACGACGCCTGCGCGGGCCGCGTCGGGTTCATGGCGGCCCCCGGCGATGGATCTGCACGCGGATGCACGCTGGATCGGCTCTCGCTCTCGGACACGGTGGGTGCGAGGGATGGGGGAGCACGCGAACGAGGGAGACGAGCGCACGGGCAGTTGAGTTGGGGAATTGATCGAGCTGGACTACAAATTGGGGGAGATTGTTGTTGCTGGGTGTTGTCAGAAATCGTGGTACGTGGTTACAGTAGTGTTTTCCTTCGTGACGAGGGTAAACCAACGCGGAGAGGGGTCCCGGTCGAATACAATGCTACCTCCGTCCAAAAGAATGCGATGGGTTGCTTGTCACGTAGTTTATCAGGTTTCTCGTAAATTATATTTATATTTATGTTTTCAAATTACTTTTTTATAAAAATACAACTCATAATTAATCTAATAATATTTATTTGACATCATAAATATTTATAGTTTTTATATATATATATCTATATCTATATCTATACTCCTAATAATAATAATAATAATAATAATAATAATAATATAATCTATATCTATACCTAATAATAAAGAGGCAAAATTTCATCCTATTTTTTTCGTCAGTCTCTCTCTCTACTGCCGGATAACACGAAATTTCTTCCGTCCGGACTTTTATATATAACTCGTGCTCATACGTATATCCTAATCCAAATAGAATCCTTTATCTGAGTAGTGAATAGGAATCCTAATCCAAATAAGAAAGAATATCTCTATTTATCCTCTTCTATATTTATTCTCTTTCCTGTTTCTTTCCAAAAACGTTCGGACTTTTCTGTTTTATTGCCTTAGAGACCATCCGTCATGTACAAGATGTGAGGGTTTTCCTGTTTCCATATATTTCATGGATTTTTTTAGTTCCAGTTAGAGTCTTTTTCCTGTTTTGATCTATTTTTTATTTCTATTTTTCCAAATTACGTCTTTTTTCAGCTTGGTTTAGAGTCTTTGTTTTGATGTCTTTTTTTATTTATGTTTTCTTTTCAGTTTCGGTTGGAGTCCATGGGCCATGAAATTTGTTACGTTCAAAGTTTTTTTTTCTGTTTTGATATTTTTTTATTTCTATTTTTCCCAAGTCCGATTAGAGTCCATCGGCGATGAATTTTTTTAATATTAAAGTGCCAAAACTTTGTCCACCAAAAAAATTTGTTTTGCCTCCCGCTTTAATCCTCCGCTCCATTTCGCAGTCGTGATGATATACCACGGGCCTCATCTCTAACAGGGACTCCCATCTACCCTCCCCAGTTATAACCTATGCTACATCCACACCCATAAATGCACCCAGAAATATAACACCATCAAAACGGATGCACCAGATTATCTCTTAGCCATTCTCTCTCATTACTCATCCAAATCCGACGGCTCATGTTTAGTGTGTCTGCCCTCAACCGACCATGAAAGGAAAAACACCGCGACTTCCGCGCCTCCACGGTTCCGGCGGCGGCAACCTCTCCGACTCGGCCTCCTTCGACGACGGACACGACGACGCCATGACAGCCGTGGCGAGCACATCATGACGAGCAGCACCGCCGGAGGTCACGCTGCCGGCAGCTTCGACCAAGCCGAAGGCGGCGACGACGAAGCTTGCAACTCGGGGGCGGGCAAAGCACGTCAAGGCGCCGCCCAAGCCCAAGCCCGAGATGGATTACTTCCCCGAGAAACGAGAAAAGGAATCGGTGAGTTGGTTTTCTAGGATGACTGGCTCGGGTTAGGTTTTGGTATTCCCAATCGAGTAGTCGTTTGGTCCTCGATCGATTAGCTCATGAGCGGCGATTGTTGCTCTAAGCGGCAAGATTTGCCTTGCCGTGCTTTGATTGGTGGAAAAAACCGGTGATGATGGCTCCATTCATCGTCAGTAGTAATCTAATTTGGATTTGGACAAGCAAGTATCACCGCCCCGCCCAAGTTCTAATCTGGTGTGTGATAATCAGATATATGCATGCTTTGGCAATTGTGTCGATTAATTATTGGTTTTGTTAAATAGAGCATAGAGTGATGCCGGTCTGCCACTCATGGATCAGCAGCTAATCGCTTGCTATGAGAAAATTGCTAAAATAGGACTCCCAAACATGTGTCTTTGCTAAAATAGGACTCCTAACGTTGGCTTTGTTAAAATAGGACTCGAAACGTTGTAACTTTGTTATAATGACATTTTGACAACTTTTAATCATATTCCAAAACTCAAATACATGTATTTTCTCATATTGACTGTATTGCCCTTCTGGTATTCTAATATATCCGCGTCGATTCATTGCCCCATCCCGTCGTTCCTCCTTCCGTACAACGCACGAGCCCTAGCCGACGAGATCTCCTGGCCGACGCCATCCCGTCGTTCCTCCTTTTCTGCTACCCCTCCTTCCCTGCCGACGCCACCGGCCATGGACTTGGAGGCAACCGAAGCCCTGGGCGCGCGTGGTGCCCTAGCCGAGGCCGCGCTTGGTGCCCTAGCCGCGGCGTCGCCCGGTGCTCTGGCCTCGGCGTTCCTCCTTCCCGCTGCCCCTCCTTCCCTGCCGACGCCGCCGGCCATGGACTTGGAGGCAACCGAAGCCCTGGCCGCGCGTGGTGCCCTAGCCGAGGCCACGCCTGGTGCCCTAGCCGCGGCGTCGCCTGGTGCTCTGGCCTCGGCGTTCCTCCTTCCCGCTGCCCCTCCTTCCCTGCCGACGCCGCCGGCCATGGACTTGGAGGCAACCGAAGCCCTAGCCACACGTGGTGCCCTAGCCGAGGCCGCGCCTGGTGCCCTAGCCGCGGCGTCGCCCGGTGCTCTGGCCTCGGCGTCGCCCGGTGCCACAGCATGGCGCTTCATTGCCCGCCGCCCGACCAAGTTGTTAGACCTGGCATGGCACTGATGGCCAAGCTTCGAGCTAGGGCAACCGATGGCTCAGAGGCGCGATGGAGGCCTCCATCGATGGTCTGGCCCTAGCAAGGTCACTTCTGCCTACTGCTCCTCATCCGGCAAGAGAGTGCAACATTCCTGTTCTTCAAGTGCAAAGGTATATATTACATCCACTAGATCTTTTTTTTCAGTACAAGTACCGTGCAGAAATAAAACTAGGTTTGGCTTGTTTATAGGTCCGAAGTGAATGATGTGGAAACTATAGGAAAAGTTGATTGGGCAACATTACAAATTGTGGAAACACATGATGATGAAGGTCGAATTGAAGTTATGAGCGAGAGCCGGATGTGTGAGTTTTTAGGCTTGACAAAAGAGGGCACAACAAATGAGTCAATAAATGTACCTACACAAGGCTTTGGTTGTTAGAATGGATGAACAAGTGAATGATCTCGTGCTTGGGCAAGATATTGATGGTGCTTGCCATCCCTACTAGTGATGCCTGCACCGGTGAGATGGTCATTACGTATGATAAGAAGAACCCATCAATGGAGGTAGGGACAATGTACCCAACAATGGAGGAGTTCAAGCTGGCAGTTCGGTAATTTGCCATCAACAAGGAGTTCCATTTACGAGTAGAGAAGTCAACTAAGACGATATATAGGGCTTATTGCAATTCCGGTGATGAAGATCACCCTTGCATTTGGAGGATAAACGGCAGAAAACTGCAAGGCAGAGCTACAACGGTGGTACGTATATGAGGCAGTCTTGTTTGTTCCAAGTCAATCTTGTTTTTTGTTTTGCATGCATGCAGTACGTATATGAGGCCACTAGCATATATATGCATATAAGAACTCTGAACTTTGCTTTGCTTGCATTATTGCCTCTGTAGCATGTGAGAAGTCGTTGATTTTTTTCTGATTAACTTGGATTGCTCAAGTTTGCGATTGTTATCTTCGATTGTCTAGAAAGCGTAGGCAACCAAGGAAAAATGTTACAATACAGCCAGCGGAACCTAGCACTCCACGGAGGCCGACTAGAGAAGAAATTATACGTGATAGTCCAGGAAGGGTCACAAGAAGGTAAAAAAAATATAAATATAGAAATTGACACATTTATCATACACTAATTTTTCCAAACATCTAATTGTCGTATTGAATTTATGTGCAGCATGCTTGCGACGTTATTAAGGGAGGGCACATCTTCACAAGTTGACACCAATAGTCTCGTGAGGATGCCTACCGCTGCAGCACCCAAGAAGATGACACCGAAGAGGAAGCTACACATTGGATGAATTACTTTAGTTGTGTGATGAGATGTAAACTGCTCATGATTTATTTCATGATTTGGATCTTGTTTTAAACTAAATTATAGTCTTATGCGATGAACTTGTAACTGCTAGAATCATGGTTTTATGATATGAACTTGTTTGTTCTAAATTCATGTGTTTTATATATTGCTTGGATCATCATTTTCCTATTTCAATCTTGTATATATATGCATATATGCATGCATGCAGTACGTATACGAGGCAATATTGTTTGTTCCGTACTACACTATACATGCAGTACGTACTACACTATACAGGCAGCGGCCAGCCATGCCCAGGCGGCAGCCAGCCAGCCCAGGCCATGGCCAGGCAGCCGGCCATCCAGCCCAGGCAACGGCTAGCAGCCCACCTATACATGTGTTTTAAAGGCCAAAGGGCAAAATAGTCAGCTCAAGGCAAAATACATGTATTTGAGATGACAAATGTGATTAAAAGTGTCAAAATATCATTATAACAAAGTGACAACGTTTTAAGTCCTATTTGAGCAAAGCCAACGTTAGGAGTCTTATTTTAGCAAAGACACATGTTTGGGAGTCCTATTTTAGTAATTTTCTCGCTTGCTATAGTTACGGTGATCGGTGATGCCAGGTCCCATGCGTAGTATGTCTGTGCCATCATAGTTTTTGCTTTTCATGTGTCCTACGAAATGCGTCTCTGGCCAGGCGAGTAGTTGCATCATCTCTTGTAATTTGATAAATTTCTACACTCTATTTGCATCCTTTCCTATTAGTTAGTTACTAATTGCAAGATTGAAATTATTTCGTTTGACACTTCAACATAGATTTTCCTTAGTCTGCTGAGTTACTAATTGCAAGATTGAAATTATTTCGTTTGACACTTCAACATAGATT